CAAGGGGCGGCGCCGTTCCTGGCAGCGCCTGTGCGCTCGCCGAGGCGGGAGAGCGGAAGGGAAAGGGAAAGGGACGAGGACGTGGGCAGGAGAGCAGGAGCACAGGGGAGGGCACCGGGAGCGAGCGAAGGGGTTCCCGGGCTCTCCGGGCACCTGAGCAGCGCCGCTCTCGGTACAGCGATGCTCGGGGAGCCCGGGAAGGGCCGCCTCGCGGCGGGCACCTGCGGCGCTGTACCGAGCGCCTCGCTCAGAGTGAAAGTCCTCGAATGGCTTAGAGCCCATCGAAACCGGAGAGAGAGAAATAAAAACTGTGCCACCAGTGCTGATGCCCTGGGATGCCGCCTGTGTGCCGGCGCCCTTGGGATGCAGGGGAAGCCGTGCGGAGGGCTGGCAGCATCCCGGCTCTGCTGCCTGTGCCCTTCCCGCTCGCCCAGAATGGTGCGGCATTCAGAGGTGCAGCTTGTTTCAGCTAATATCATTTCAATCACATCACAAAACTTGTTAAATATATCGTTTACCCTCGTTCACAACTCTTAACCGGGGCGTTAATCATCTTCAGGCATAAAATGGATAACACTGCGGAATTTAAGTTTGCTCTGGGAGCACAGGGGAGCAAGATTTTACCCTCAAATGTGTCAGTATTGTGTTTCCGCCTCCTGGAGCGGCCTTGGTCCCTGCAGGTGCCCGTCTCCATCCGCTCCATCAGGGGCAGGCCGGGCGCCGCCTGGCACCGGCAGTTCCCGGCTCCCTTCCCGTCTCCTCGCTGCCCGGCGCTGTCCCGGCTCTCCCGGGAGCTCGGAGGGAGCGCAGCGGCGCGGGGCCCCGCAGCAGAGGGCAGCAGAGGAGCGCCGGTCCCTCCCTCCATGTCTTCCTCATCCCCTTCTTCCCTCCGTCCATCCGTCCGTCCGTCCGTCCGTCCTCCCGCCCCGGCAGCGCGGCCCGGAGCGGCCGGCAGGCTCCGGGAGCCCCTCACGGAGCTGCGCTGCCGCTGTTCGGCCGGGCCCTGCGCCGCGGCTGGGACCAGACGGCCGGACGAGGTCTCCTGCTAGGGGCGTCTGGAGAAAGCGTGAGCGAGGTCCATGGGCTATTTTTCAACCTCATAATCATATGATTGTCTGTCAGTGAGGGTTTCCCCGTCAAATCGGAGGGAAATGGGACCAGCGTGTCTGTCTACTCCTCAGTCCGCCTTGTTAGTCTGACATTCATGCTCAGATCAACATGATTTAAGTGACTTCAGTGGTGGGCTAGTCTGGGACACATTTTTAGGGTAAAGAAGAGTGGCTCCACACTGAAAGAGCGCAGGTTTAGATTGGAAATTATGAAGATATCCTTTACGGTCAGCATGGTGAGGCACTGGAACAGGTTGGCCAGAGAAGTGGATGCCCCAACTCTGGGAGTGTGCAAGGCCAGGCTGGATGTTCTGAGCAGCCTGGTCTAGTAGAAGTTTCCCTGCCCATGAGAGGGGAATTGAAATGATCCAGATGACCTTGAACATCCATTTCAACCCAAACAATTCTGGGATTCTGTGGTTACTGCATTGATTGTAGGTGCAAACTTTGGTTTTAATGCTGCAAACACCAAACCTTTGCTTTGGACCTTTCAGATAAGCTGCCCTGCCACCTATAAGAGACTACATTGTATAATCAATTTTGATCCACAAAGACTGATAGAATTTTATAAGTACTGGAAGCATTCATGCCTTAGTGATGAGAAAAAATGTGAGATTATTGGGAAACAAGGAAAATATATTAAGGACATCAAAAGATTACTGTTTACTCCATAGAAATAGAAAGTGGTTTATTACACTTTTGTGCCATTTAAAATTTTATTTCCTCTCCATGGAGAACTTGAATTTCAAAGGCTCTTAGGATGTTGGTTACCATCTCAGTGTCCTTCTTCAAGCAGGTTAAAAACAACCAGCATTAGGAAGAAGCAGCTTGCTGTCTTTTCCAAGAATGGAGACCATGTGGGGACTACCATTCAGCTGGCCAATGCTCTCCTCCTCTTAATTATATTCTCTTTCACTCTTGTTTCTCCACTCTGTTTCCTTTCAATTTTGACAGGCACTTTCCAGTTGCCTGGTAATGTTATTAAACCTTCTCCAGGATAGCTTATTTTTCTTCTTCAGTATCTTTCAGTGTCTCTGTCATTATTTTTTTAAAATTTGCTCTTGAGGGGGTACCATCTGCTACAAATAGTTGCTGATAAGCAGGCTCTTATGCATGAGAAGAGTCGTACTTTCTCGGAGGGAAGGTCCAATTCAGTCAGGGCCCTGTTCCTGGTAGTGCTCATTTACAAGTCTTTCTGCTCCTGTTCTTCTGTTCTCCCATTAACTTTTTTTTTATTTTATTTTTTCTTTATTTTTTTTTTAACTGTGCACGCAACAATTTCTCTCCATTCCCTTCGTGTCTCAGAAGATACTTTTTCCACCTCTGTCACATCTCGGCTTCCAGGAAATCCTTTACCAGCCACGGCTGCAAAAAAGTAATTGTACCTCTCTCTCTGCTAATCTTAGTAATACATGATTCATCATAATAGCATTGCAAAGAGAAATCAGTCTTGAGAGATCAGGCTGGCACTGGTATGCTTTAAATCCTTCCAAGATGAGCTAGGGTCTGCAAGCTAAGGCAAACTGCCAGCCCACTACACAATTAGGCAAAGGGCAAACAAGGCAGACATTCCTTTCCCTGGACTCAGTTGTTCTTTCACTGCTCTTTCCTTCAGATACAAATCTCTCATCCGCTGTATAAAGTTTATTTTTAGAATCAGCTCCACAGGAATAACTTTAGTAGATGCTATAATGCACTGATTTTGAAGGCAGAACCTGACAGGTATTTAATACTGTTTATCAGAGCCTAACAAAGGTAGTAGAGTAGAGGAAGTGTAGAGAGCAAAATTAATAACTCCAGGCAGACTGGCACGTTGTCTTAAGGATAGTCCCTTAAGAGCACTGAGAAGTCAGGAAGCTGATTTGCTTTTTCAAAAAATAAGCACTTTCAACTCTTTTTTGCACTTCACATCTGTGCTAGAACATCCATTGAATTTTCCTGTGAAAGGCTACCATTTAATAAACTTAGTGATTTTTTTTCTTGTCACACATGAGAAATTTGTCAGTAAATATTACACCTGTTTTTCCATGTAGCATATAGATTCAGCATTACTTTTTTCCTCTAGTTGGATCTCAAACCAAACCTTTTGCCCTGTTCTTTTCCTGTGGTTGTACATGTCTACATTACTTTGCAAGATTTGCAGAACAGTGTACAGAGAGGCTATTCAAATAAGACATCCCTGGAGCACTGATATTGTGCTTTGATTACTACTGTCTCCTCTGATTAGCTAAAGGGAGGGCAAGTGACCTCAACCCCAAGTGAGAAAATAAACAGGCAAGCAGATGTAGTTCCTGAGTGACAGATGGGGCTGTCTGACAAAGTTTCACAATGACAGGCAGGAAAGGTTGAGGTAGTATTCAAACCTTTTATACCTCCTCTGGTAACTAAGCAGCCAGTCATGCCTCTCACCTGAGATATTATCCATGAAGTTTGTACAGGCTTGGTGACTGGACTGCCCAGGGAAAAACTGCAATTTATATATCTTACTATATACATTTATGTATATAAAAGCTTATTAGCAGACTCCAGAAAGCTTTCTCTTCTTTAGGATTACTATGCTGAGAAGCAGTCAGCTGGGCAGCTTCTGTGGAACACAGTTATGACATTACTGGCACTGCTCTTCAGCACTGCTAAAACTGATCAGGTGGGAAGGGTTGAAGGGTGATTAGGAGGACAGCAGCTTATATTTACTCATAACATCTCCTGGGACTTAGCAAGGAAAGAAAAGGGAAGTCATATTGCTAGGGGATTTACACAACAGGGCTAAAGCCTGCAGTGTTTGCTGTTCTTCCTTAGGATGATCAATCTCTCTATCCTGGTACGGACACACTGCTGAGGCTAACTTGTAGTAGCATTAGTTGTTTTCAGAATTTCTTTTCCTTCTTTCAGATAGACTAATCTAATTGAGACTGAAAGATTTAGAGGTATTTGGGGACTTCGTCCAGCAAAATGATAGGACATGTCTCTAGCATTCACAGCATAATGCCTCTCTCCCACATGAATGTCAAATAGGTCTGGTAATGCCAGACATCATCATTTAATGCTTTATTTTTAGCCCCCTCCCTTCTTCCATTTTTCACCAAAATGAGAATCATAACTCTGTGCTTGACTGAAGGTACTTTAGGTTCCGTGCAAGGGCTATGGCAGATTTCACTAATTGGCATTCTGAAGCCTTTTGATTGGAAAGTATGTAGAATCAAAACTACCCAGGTACCTCCAGAAGTCCCTCTTGGTGATTTTCTTGGTCTAAAACAAGCTGCTTGTAAAGCAGGGGGCATATGTTCCTCCAGCTACTCTAATTTTATTGCTAAGACAGAACAGTCTGTACAAGGCTGGCAATCAGGATTCATGAAACATGCAAATGTTAAGAATATATTCTCCTTCTCCCCACAGCTTAGCTTTATACTAAAGGGAATCCAGAGTTAAAACTATCAAGATGGGATGGTTCATTCTGGTACCTATTCTAGCATTTATGTAGAATAATAAGGTTGAGAATGTTTAGCTAACTCAGCTGTCTGGTTGTCTGTATATCCCTAAGAGCTTGATAATTCAAAAAACACAGGCATCAATAGATAAATGGGATGCTTTATTATAGACATTATATCCTTGCAGTTATCCTGGGCCAACAATTTAAGTCCTCACAACCTTCTCAAAACTCAAACACCAATTTGAAAGGTACAGTCATTGAGAGGGAAAAAAAAAAAAAAACCAACAAAAAACCAAACAACCAGGACTGCAAACACAGACAGAATCTGACACATATTCTCATTAAGTCCAGGTCCTGTAACAGTTAATAGAGCCAACTTCTCATTCATTTCAAGTCCTGAAGAGATTATGGAACTGTACAAAAATATCATGTTAAGTGCAATTTGTTTCTGAAATGGTATGGAGCAGGCTGGAGATAAAACATAAGAATTATTTTAGGCCACAGAGTAAAGCAGAAGAAAATAGTGAAATAATCTTGTGGCTCACCAGGCAGGACACTGCATTTTGAAGACTTAGGATTTAATCCACTCTCTACTAACTGGCATGTGTAGACAGAACCAAACCCTATGGATCCATAGCCTCTAGTGTATATAATGGCTTAGGAATCAACTTAGCTTCAAAGAGATCTAGCTCATAGCATTCTATGCCTTTGTTGCCTCATCTGTAGAATGGCAACAATAAGGTATACCTGTACTTTTAAATCAACCTAAGATCAACAGCCAAATATAAATGAATTTGTATTACTAATGAATAAACAGATGACATTGTTTAAGAATCAATTCTATACAAATTGAGAAGATTTATTATGATCATCAACAATATTCTGTCATGAAGATGGATGAAAGATAAACTTTGGAAAGAGGATTGTGTCTTGAAGTGGTAACTTTTAGAAATAACATTTGCATCAAATCAGCTGCTATCATGACAGTATGGACAGCAGTAAGCAGAGTTGGTGCAGGTTAATACCTGTGATTATGTTGACTTCATGAGATCAGGAGACTGGTTTCTTGAGATGATAGGCAAGTGGTTTTACTAACCTGGCAAGGAATTCCTGGGAGGCCTTGGCTAAGGTGACCTGGCAGCACAAGAAGAGTTAAGTAGGAAAAAATCCAATGATTTGCTGCACTCTATTCTGCCTGGAAAAAAATAGTCTTATTTTGACTGATGTGTACAGGAGCTCTTACTGTCCTCTCAGTGTGCGACAACCAATGTGGAGAACCCAGTCCAGTTTCAGGACCCTGTCTCTCGCACAGCCTAATTTCTCTTGTAGGTGCATTCCACAGCACT